CACGGGGAGAACATACTGTACAGTACAAACTTCACACAAATAGTACCCCAGGAATTAGGACATAGTAACCCAGAGTCTCAGTACTGCGAGGCAGCTGTATGTACTGCATCACCCAAGTACTTTATATAATGTTAAGATATTACCTTTATAAACAGAATGAATATACAATTATTAAAGAATTTCTTACATTTTTGCAGTGTTTTTGATCCCAAAATGCCTCATATATAGGATAGGGTCTACTTCATCCACCACTGAAGTACTTCACACATCTACAGTATACGACAGAGATCAACTTTTATGTCATAGCGCCCAACTATATAGGTGGTCACGTGGAAAAGCGAAAAATTACTTCATGTATTAAACAAAGGGGAGAAATGTATAAAACCCCAAAGTGGAATTTAGACTTGACATTCGGGTGAACACTCCTGATCTTATGAACAAAGACACAAGATTTTTTATCTTATTAGTGTTGGAATTTCTGAGGAGCAATATGACTCACTGATCCAGCAACACAAATGACCTCTTCGAGCTAATACTGTGTGCTACTGATTTAGTCACTTAAGAGCATGACAAATTTTTATTCCACCATTTTTATTTTTATTCTCTGTTTTAGTGAGTTCCTGTGACTCATTTTACCCCAGAAGCAGCCTCACTACTTTTACAAGAGGTTTACTCTTTTCTTAATTAAGAGATGCTTTGCTGAATTGCTGTACATTCGCCTAAATGTTATTTAGAGATTGCTGATGTAGAAATGGGAAATATTGGGAAGTACTAAGGATAAACACAACTGTGAAAACTTGGAGAATGTAGAAGGAATGTGTCTTTAGCACTGTGAAAAAACGAACAGTTAACTTGTATCCTATAGCAAAGAAAATGGGATAAAATAAGAAACTTTTTACTAACAAGTCAAAAAGCTGGTTGCTGAAGTTAAAAAATGACAGCACACATATCTGGAAAGCTATTACAAAGATAAATAAAAAACTTTTAAAAGTTCATTCCTGAGGTTCTTGAGCCTCTACAGCTGAAACATCGTGTTTCTTTTTTCTACTTTTCAGCACAGGATTAACCTTTACTTATTCCTTTCCAGCCAATGCACACTGACACAACTCCCTGCTCAAACCTCTTAAATTGACAACATACTTTGTGCTCAAAAGATATTCAAGAAGAAACTGGATTTCAGATGTGCTCATGCAGCACAGGTTATTCTCCCAGCTTTACTGGATTTGAAAGCTTTCTCTCCTGTGCACCATGCCCGCCTGGGCTGCTTTCACAATCCTAAAATCTGTTCATCTACTGGGACTCTTCTCCCAGCAGCTCTATAGTCTAATCATAGACAATGACAACTCTCTGGCTCGTCCTCGTGGCAGACCTTAGTGCTTTCGCCTAGACTAGGGCTGTACTTCTTTTCTAATCTTTCAGGATTTGAAAGTTGGGTTGCTCTTCGCTTACACAAATGCTGCAATTGCACAAGAAGGCCTCTGGCCTTGTGTGTATTGTGCTGCCCTACATCTACTCTGCTTTTTGTAACATTATGCAGGTTGCTTTTCACAGGCTGCACTGAGCTCACACGTTTTGTTTTCTTAGATATACTGTAATTACTCCTTTTTGTAACTTCTTCCGTACATCTGTGTCGTGTTTTTTCGTTCACCTGCATAAAGCTACACTGACAAAATAATAGTAATTGATTGCATTTTTGATTCATTGTGTGACATAAAATTGCAAATTATTTTATTTTGTATCCATGTTAAAAATTATATAGTAGTGTCAATACAGTTGGTAATATATTCTTGTAGCCTGTGTAACTTTCTCTAGGTAGAGGTCTGTACTAATCTATGAAATCATACAGATCTTCAACAGAGCACAGGTAATCTTTTACAACCATCATATATTTTCAAAGTACTGCATATGGAATATTTAAATCTTTGCTGGAGCCTGGAGTACCCAGTAGCTCATCCCCTTGAATAAATGGGAGGCATTGATAGTGGGGGACTCAATTATTAAAGGTGCAGACAATGTAGCTTAGCATGTATGATAGGGAGTTTCATACATTGTGCGTTCTGCCTGAGGCCAAGGATTCCTTGAGTAAATGGATAAGCTCCTGCCCTGAGCCAGGGTGGATCAAGCTGTTATCATCCATGTCGCATCAAATGACTGATGAATGTGACAAATTTAAGGAATTTAAGGAATTACTTTGTACCATAAATGTAATAACAGAACCTCTATGATGGTCTTCTCAGGAATTCTACTAATAAACATATTCAAAAAGCATAGTTAATGATATAATTTTAGTGAACACTAAAAAATTAAATTAAGATAATAATAAAGGACGAAAGGTTTTCATGGGAGATTATGGCTTTTCTCACATAGACTATAGCAAAAGAAAGTGAAAACATCAACATGGTTAACGACCATGTTTCATACTCTTCCTCAAAGAACATGCAAATCTACAACCTACAGTACATTCCATGTACTGCATTCTAATCTTTTCAGTACTCCTAATCTTTTCAAACAATACCTGAGAAAGACCAGCTTTAATGAAGTAAATTATATGAGAAACCTCATGACAAAGACAGGGAGATTTGTCAAAGCCAGTACCCTGGCTTTCTTCAAGAAACAGCTGGATGAGATCCTTTGTACAATTAGTTCCTTTCAAAGAGGCTAGATGGGCTGAATGGCTTCTTGTTGTTTGTAACTATTAGTATGATCTTATGGTAAAGGTTAATACAGTATATTAAAGAAATATTTCACTTAGGTGTTTACCATCAAAGAAATCAATAAAGTGCCCAGGCTGGGGAGGGAAAATGTTCTAAATGAAAAAGTATTAGCATTGAACAAGCAGACGTGCACATAAGAAACACTAAAAATAATCCAATTTCCAGAGTCTGATGGTATTCTACCAGTTGTACTTAAGGAAACAAGAGATGCTATTCATAGGCCAATAACAAAACTCCTCCAGCAAATGCCCAAGACAACTGTTTCATTGCTTCTTAACAGCAAGGCCTGGAAAGCTTGTCAAGACTGAGGGAATAGTGGATGGTATAAAGTACAGGCGAGTCCCAGAGGAAAGTCTACTTGCCATTAATCTAAAATTAGAGTGAAAATTTACACTTCAGCGGGGCAATGATCTGAAGCTCAAAGTTAAACCAAACTGAAGCAGCCTGACATGAAGAGAGTGTATGTCCTTGAGTGGCCCAGTCAAAGCTGTTACTTGAATCCAGTAGACATTTATGGTGAGTCTTGAATTGCAGTTACTTCTTGTCAGAACTGGAACCATTTTGCAAGGAAGACTGGACACTAATACTCATCCCAAGGCTGGTAGAGACCTTTCAAAAGTACCAACAGCAGTGATTACTGCCATAGGTGCTTCCGTTGACTACTGATAGAGGGCTGCAAACTTATAGAATCAGTATATTTAACTTTGTATATCCTCTTTGCACATTTTTCTGACATTCATCTTTTTTTCCACATATAACAGTGTTCAGTTCGGTCATTTTCAGTTTTGGAAAATATGAGTTGGTAAAAAATATTTACTAATATTTAAATTTGATATTTAACTGTAAAATACAGACAAATATTAAGGATTTTTTATAGATTCCCTGAATACGTACTTGAGCAGAAATAATGTTAATATTTTGTAGAAATGATCAAAAGAAAAGACGTTTACAGTTAACCTGAATAATATTTGTATATAATGTTATTACCTGTACGATACTGTTCATACAGTATCTTAAAGGTCTATTTGTATTTTTTTCTTCTGCTTCCCACAGGTTTTCTGGTAAGTATTGGCTTTCCTGCCATAAACTGATTTACCTCCTTACCACGATAAAATAGAGACCACATGTAAATCAGCATTAGTATTTCTCTGACCCAGAGACTAACAGGTATCATAATCTTGGGGAAATGTGGACACAGCATATGCCTTCTAATCTGTTTTTGTGTTGACAAACTGCTGTACAACACAAAAACATTTCAGTATCCAAGGGAGGAAAAGCTCCGCCGCACTACTTCAAACGCAGTTCTGCTGCATCTGCAGTGCAATTACAGGTGCAATTACAAATCCACCCTCTGATGTGATACTATAATTGGTAATTTAATAGGGTTTAACAGTAGTGTCAAACCAAAAACAATACCAGACTTCTCTTAGACTGAATCGTTTAGTGCTTTGACTAGTGTTTTGTACAGACTGCTGTTTTAAAATGTTATTTTCCTAAAGTCACAAGGGTGTGAAACCCTGCAGTCATAGATATCACGGGGCAGTTTAACTCATACCAATGTAGCACAGATAGACTGTACTATTTTATTTTAATCGCGATCTTTTTAAACAAAATGGAACAATAGAATTGTGAAAGTATTAAAGCTGAGGAAATTTCGCATGGAGCGCTACTTGTTTTTTTATCGATATGTGGTAATATCTTTGTTTTCTGCTGTTTAAACGAAGTGTGACCCATTATCAAAGTGTAATAAAAACGTGCTTTCAGGTTAACTAATGTACTGTATGTCTGCGATTGCCTCTATTGAATGAATCCCATTACTTAGCAGTGTAATGCGCAACCTCACCTCAAGCAAGACATTAACACCCCTTACGCTTTGAACAAGATTGGACTATATTTTCCATATTTAAGGTATACAGAAAAATATACGCATACTATATCATATAAGGCTTGTTTGTCTTATAGCTGTCCTTTGGCTTTTAACACGTGTGTATTCTGTAATACCCTAAATCTCAATGTTCGTCCCGAATAATAACTTCGTTCTTTTGTACTTTATTATATTATTGTGGAACAGAATTGCATTTCCAATCAGAACTGTATTCAGACGTCGTTAAATATTTCCACAATATTTTAGAGACATGCCAAGCCTAACATTAATAGCAAAACCCTAAAATTTCAACTCAACATCACTTTGCTGAAAGCCACTGCACTTCACGAGTCACTGTAACTAGTAAAATAGAGGTAAGGCACACCCCAATGCACACGCAGTTGAAAGAAAGAGCCACTTGCCTTTCGCTCCCGAGCCTCTTGTAAGTCCAGAACAGACACTTTTCGTTTACTTAAAAGCAAGTACAGTAGCGCAGCTACCCACAGTAGTACCGCCAAAGCCCAAGTCAATCTGCGAGAAAGCCTTTTCATTTTCGGAGACGTATTATATCCACGCTGCCCTAGCCCCTCGATTTATATCGGGAAATCCACGGCTGTAGCATTTCCAGGAAACTCTCGGTGGACTTGGCATGTGAGATGTGAGCTTTAACCTCAGTGGGATCTTCATAGGTCTCCACTGCTGTGCCAAAAGCAGGTCTGTTGAAGCGCGTGTTCGCCGAGTGTGCTGGTAGGAGCATAAACCGGTGAGCAGTTTCCACATTGAGAGCATGATAATGACCCGCTAGCGCTGGGAGGCACTGCGCTGGATGCCGTCCAGTTTGATTAAACCCAGAGAGTTTGGGTATACGCGGTTACAGACTCTGAAGGGGTTTAGCACCACCTGCTGTGTGTGTCCAAACAAAACCAACTGCTTGAAGCTTCCTTTGATTTCGCCTGCTCTTGATTATTTATTACCATTTTCCATGTAACGTCTGGAAATTTGCTGATTCAAACACGGTGCGCTGCAGTTATGAAGAATGGTTTCGTAAAACACTCAGCGATGGAGCTTTTTTCTGGTCTGTCGTGTAGTTATTGTACTGTATTTGATGTTTCTTGATTGTGCTGCTTCACACTGTTAAACCACTTAACAAAAGTAAGCTTGATTACAAGTAATTTCCTTATCATTCTGTTATATTTGCTTTCATAAAAGCTATCTAAAAAATAACAGTTGTCACGTGTTTACTTACTGTAAATGGTAAAATCTAGGGTTGGTAAATTACTCTACAGTAGTTTGTTATTTACCTAACGATTTCTACTGAAGAAGTGCAATTGTGGCCAGAAACGTTTGTTTCTCCTGGGATGTACAGTACGTAGAGTCCATGCGTGTTGTGTTGATATATTTTCATTATACATTTCAACATTGGTTAACAATGGACAAAAGTAATAAATTATAAAAACAAACATAAAATAATAAATGTTAGGTACTGTACATTATAGTTACTCAAATGATTCCAGCCTAATTGGGGTTTCATGCCATCACATCTCATGTGAGCTCATTGTCTGTCTGTATGGGGCCTCAAATACATATCCAAATTATTACTTACTGAATTTAATTCAGTAAGAGATTGTATATTTTATACAGTATACTGCATGGTTGTTTGAACGTGTCCCTTTTAAAACCTTTGTTTTGTTCTCTTACTTTTGACTAGAATGGCCATATACCCCCAAGGTATTGAGTCAGTATTGTAAAGGGTAAGACTACCACAGAGTCTCGTTTATCATCATCATCACAGAGGAGATCTGGGGATCAAGAGGGACAACTGGAACATATTGTAATCATTTGAAGCTCTAAACTCTATACAATCATCATCATCATCATCATCATCATCACCATCATAAATTCCTTACACTTATATTGTGCTTTTCTGGACACTCCACTCAAAGCACTTAACAGATAATGGGGATTCCCCTCCAACACCACTAGTAAGTTATTAGCACGGTTGTATGATGATATTTAATAGAATCGGATGCTCACATTGCTTGTGCTTACAGTAGGCACTCTGTTCATTATAAAAAACAGAGCCCCACACTAAACAGATACAGACTGGTTTTAAAACAGTTCTTTAAAAATATGGACTTTTATAGAATATGTATCGTATATTCCTTCCTTCAGATAAAATCTAGTGCACACAAATGTGATTCATTTAATCTATTTTCAGGTATGTGGAAAAAATAGATTTATTTCTGGGAACCCTCCATTCACAATGTGATTTCAATAAAGACAACTCTGTTTTATAGTGGAGGGAACATTTTAGTTATTAAACTACATGAAAAATGCTTTTGCTTAAAACGTCATACTGTAAATAGGATTACGGTAAGATAAAAAATAAAGACGTGGGTGGAAATGTGATACATGACTAAGATACATGGAGAGAAGGAAGGGGAGAGAGGATTTAGGAATTTTAGGCACAGCTCTATTCAAATCATTTAAGTGTTCCATTTAAATCTCTCTTTGTTCGTAGCAGGTTTTACTCATATATCCTATTGAAATCTGAAAAAAAAATCCACAAATGAAAGACAATAATGAAACAAGCAGCTTGAAAACTAAAAATAAACAGTTCATACACAAATCTTTCTGTTTATCAATTATCCATCCATCTTCTAAACTCTTTGTCCAATACAGGGTCACAGAGGAGCCAGAACCTTTCCTGGAAAGAGAGGGCACGAGGCTGGATACAGGGCTAGATTTTGGTGTCTGTAGGCCCTTGGCACTTTCACTCCGAAATGTGCAAAAAGAGAGGTAAATGCCAATTGATTTACGTCGATTGACATGATACACTTTAAACTACTGTAATGCTAAATCACGCAATTGATGGAGCGAGTCGAGCGACCATCTCTTTGATACTTCTAGTTTCTAGAACAACCAATGATAGCATATGATTAGTAATTTAGAGCACCTAGAGTCGATGGCAGGCATGTTGTTTCAACTCATTTTTCGTTAGTCACTAGCGTTTCCCTCCTTCGTAGGCCCTAATAATTGCGTAGGCCCTAGGCACGGTGTCTACATTGTCTACTGGGAAAGCCGGCACTGGCTAGATACACCCTGGAGGGGACACCAGTCACACACACTCAGACCAGGGCCAGTTTTTCTTAGAATCCAATCAACCTAACAGTATGATTTTGGGCAATGGAAGGAAACCAGAACACCTGGAGGAAACCCTCACAAACACGGTCACAGTCACAGTTCTGTACGCAGAACTGTGACCCACTTTCCTGCCAGAACAAATTGTCCATCACACACTGCAGGCTCTGTAGTGACTTACAGAAGATTCAGCACTAACTGGAGGGGTGGTGCAGCTGTATATAGACAACACTGAAAGCTGGCACTTACCTCATTATCTCCAGGGGTTTCTGTTAAGGAGGATATCTTAGTGATTCAAACTCATCCAACACAGACAATCCAATTCTGAAACATCCTTTTCATTTTCAAATGCACTGAAGTCTTAATTGTGCTAGCCCGTTGGTTTACATGAAGAAGTCGTGGCTGTAGCATTTCCAGGAAGTCCAGGGCATCCTGGTTCAAAACTATTGTGTTTGTCTGGATTGAGAACTGGTTGATGGATAGGAAAGAGAGTGCAGGTGAGGAGTGAATGCTCTAATTGGAGTGATGTACAGTATGTAGTGGTGCACAGGAGGTCCCTGTTATACTGTACATCTCCCGACTTGTGTACTTACTGGCCGATGAATTATTTAACTCTACCAAACTTCTCTGTGCTTACATCATTCTTCAGCCAAAAAACAGCGAAGTATGGGGTCTGTAGATGATTGTGTTCTGGAAATGAAATAAATATTGCTAAGACCTAAATCTAACATTAAAGTTTTTCTTCTAGATAATGCCGATGCCCATGACTTAGATTATGAATCATTATGCCCCAACATTAATGTTAAGGTTTTATTACTACAGTAGGAGTTTTGTGAAATTACTGGGACAATTTATTAATTGTAGCAGTAAACCACGAGGTGATTCTTTTATGGCTATTAGACAATCAATCATCAGGAACAGTCAGCAAGGCACACACATTAATTCAATACACAAGATATATTTATGAATACATAAATTGTACATATAAAACATATCACAGTCTGCCTGGATACAGATGGCAGATCTTACTGTGAGGGTTATCAAAATGGAAGGTACTGTATATAATCATGAAGAGATGCAAAACACAAAGAGATGCAAACAAGGAATATGCTTCAGTATACCATTCAGCAATACCATTTTGTTAATCAGTTTCATTAATACAACTTCTACATTAGATACTCAAAAGTAAATACATTACTCATATGAATTAAATTAAGATCAACACTTGTTGAGATATAATTGAATTCTTGATTGGCAATGTGGAATATTAGGTTACTTATCCAGATATGGATTGGTACTGTATTTCCCGATGCACAGACACAAAAGATCAGCTGGCAGCCTCTGTCTCTGCGGCAACATCCAATCAGCATTCATGCATTTGAAGTTATTGATGCCACCTTGGTCCATTGATTCTATCAGTGAGGTTGTGCCTAGTGTAGCAGCAATGCTTATAAATAAGACAGAATTACAGTAAGTGTTGCTGTGCTTTCCTAAATGAGGCCCCATCTTATTTTCAGAAAGGAGCAAAAAATCACTTGTCCTAAACTTGGCTTGTGCCCCAAAATCTGAGCATCTGAAGCCCTACTGGTCTCGGATTTTACCATGTTCCCCCAGCCAAAAAGTATGAGTGTGAAACAAACTAAAGAATTGATAAAACCTCTTGTAAATGTAGGAATTTTAAGCTCATCCCTGGATTTTGGGCCCAAATCAGCTTTATTTTTATTCTTTGGAAACTTTTCGGTGACTGGATAATGCGGTGCACCACTCGGTATTTGTATCCCAAAACTGAATCGGTCGGATCAAAAGTTGCAAGCAAACATTTTAGAATCTAAAATATTTGCTAGAGCTTTTAACACTGCTTTTGACTGTTTCACACCCATACTTTTTGGTTGGGGGAATATGTCAAAATCCGATGCCCGGAGGAATTCAGATATTGATTAAGGAATGACTCAGTTGACACCCCAGCTAGGGTTAAGGTTAGCATTCACACAGTACATAGACATCCGAAACAGGATCCGGAACAGGGACAGGGAATAAAATCAGGATGACGAGGCCAGATGCTCCAAGCCCTGGACTCAGATGGTCAGGCTGCTGTGATGAAGCCTATCCCGTTGGGTCTCTCCTGGACCCGCTTGTAGGCGGGCTTCTGGGCGTCCATCTCCCAATGGAACAGCGAGAGCGCCAGGCTTAAATGAGGAGACAGAACAGGGGGCAGGTACATGAAATCAACTAAAATACGAAAGGGCCAGAGTGCCCTTAAGAGGAGGGATTACGATTGTGACAGATGTGCAATGATTGGTTGAGAGTTTGGCGGGCATTTCAGACCCACGTGGGGTTACCACGCCCTGCAGGTTTCTGATTAGTTGTTTAAGGTGAGAATTGAGTAACAATGACTTGTGACATATATGGACCAAGGTGGCATCACTAACTTCCAATGCATGAAGTGTGTGTAGAAAAGAGCCCTACCCTGAAACAGCAATTGACTTGTTGGTTTTGGCTACAATTTGAAAGGAGTTAGTGACACTAATTGTCTGTTTCTAATTATTGTTTTTTATAAGGAATATATCTCAAGCTAATTACAAAATTCCATATGGATATTAATTTCCCTTTATAAGTCATATTGCTACTGTACAAATTATGTTATTTAAGAATGTAACCTGGACTATACTGTAACTTCACCCCCAGTACTGTATTTGGGTAGCTACAGTACAAGTGAAATACAGTCTAACTTTTGGTCACTAACCCAACTCTTCCATGAATCCCTATGGGGGAAGAGCCTCCCACTTTGAGTCACAAGAGAAAGGTTTACACTCTTACAGTCCTAAACCCTCCATTTTTATATTGTTTTTATGAGTTAAAATTCCCCTTTATACTGTACATCGTTTCACTATATAACATGACTTTCTGGTTCCAACATATATCAGCAACTGCCTGCATTAGGACCACTACCCTTTGTAATGCTTATCAATGATCTTGGCTGATATACAGTAGTTAGCAAACTAGGCAAGTTTGCCAAATGATACCAAAAGAAGATTCAGAAAAGCTGTAGAGGATGCAAACGGAATTAAAAAAAACATTCTAAAAATGTTCAGAGACATTTAGAGACATCATTAACCTTCAGAAGGTGGGAGGAAACTGAAATATTTGGAAAAAAAAGACAAGAACTTCCCATGGGGGAATATGTGAATGTCACACTGAAGGCACCCATGCCTGAAATTGAGCCCAGAACCCAAATTGCTGTGAGGAAGCATATAATAATTCCTGTTGGCTTTCTTGCTTCTTTCAGTTCAGCCATTGCCTGCCTTAAAATGTCAAGTGCGCTCCCCTAACACTGTATTACCCTACATGTCAGCTTCACTTTAATCAGATCTAGACACCAGGCTTCTAAAAAAAAGTATTGTACAGTATATTGGAGTATCATTACCATCAATTAGATGAGATTTTTCTAGATTTTTCTGAAAAAGGTTAGGCTTCAAAATTGAATGAAATGACAGGAATGAAAAGGAATGCCCAGTGTAAAGGGTGTTCATTTGAGTTGTACAGTAGGGTTGTCTAGTTCGCTTGCAGCCATATCACCCTGCAACTTACAATTGGCAGCCCACTGAAGCTAAGCAGGTGTGAGCCTGGTCAGTACCTGGATGAGAGACCTCCTGGGAAAAACTAGGGTTGCTGCTGGAAGAGGTGTTAGTGAAGCCAGAAGAGGGCGCTCACCCTGTGGTCCATGTGGGTCCTAATGCCCCAGTATTTACCAAAGATACCAAAGATTTGGTTCAAACCACCAAATGGAGATGGGCGTGCCGACAAGCGGACCCTGCTGATGCAGGATTAACGCTAGGATAAGAGAGTAGGGTTGTCTAGTTCCAACTACAATGTGCATCTAAGACAATAGAGCTCATAAACTATGTTTAAAGATAGAGAAAAAGATAAAGAAGTAGGTTATAAAAAATCACACAACTTTGAATTGTGTTTAAAATATGGGGAGTGTAATGATACAAGGTTGTACTTCTTAAACGCTGCCAAGAGCTGATAGTGGAGAATTATAATTAATATCTTACATGTTTTTTATCAAGTATGCAAAACACTGTAGATGACCAACTGTAAACTTGCAGTATTCCCAAACTCAATCTTCTAGGGTCTGGATTTTTCATTCAAGTACAAATTTTAACAAATTCTTATAATAAGTTGGACTAATTAGTGACTAATTAGTAGCAGGTTAATAGATTTTCTCAGGTGTTCATGTGCTGCTGATTTAAATATGTATACAACCTCCAGGGGCCTCTAGGGCTCTGGGTAGGGATTTGAAGGAGTTTGTAGGTTTTTTGAGCCAGGTCCTTCACCTGAATTGCTCCAGTACACTACCTACCTAAAACTGAAAATAGGAAGCACACATTTACCCATTGAATAATGGGAGTGTAGAGAACACTGAATAGCCCACACTTTGGTTTCGTTCAAGAAACAGCTGGATGAGATATATGAAACAATATGTTACTAACCACCACATGGGCCAAATAGCCTCCTCTTGTTTGTAACCTTTTATTATGTTTTAGGAGAGTTGAGAACCGCTGGCTTGAATTGTTCTTAAGTAGCTTTGCTGTTGGTGCCTCCTGGTGTTGAATTTTGTCTGGCAGTGTACTGCAGTGGGTTTATGGTAAATCTAAACACAGACACAGAAGGATAACACAAATAAATCTAATTGAGTCAGAGAGGGTACAAAGGTTAATGAATATCTGGGAAAGCCTTTTTAAGACAATTAACTATGTATTGTACCTTTTTAATGGCACAAACTGGAGCAAATAAGTGATCAAAACTTTCATTGCAGTGAAAAGTCAAGAAAATGCAAGAAAAAGCTTTTGATTACCTGGTCAGATGGTCACTACAAGGGTGAAGTCTGAGATCTCTTGCAGATTGCTGGCTGGCTCAGATTGATGGAAAATTGACCACTGAGTGAAGGCTCTGTGGAAGCAGTTAAGGTCTCTGGAGCTGTAAAAACAGAAGCAAGGTGCTGCTTTTCCTGTGTAAGACTGCCAGCGTTTGTGTTATTGTAGGGCCTGTGTGACATGTGCAAGCTGCCTGGGAGTAATGCAAATAATCGAAACAGTAGGAAACAAGTCCCACAAAATGCTGTTTCCTTCCAGCTTGATTTCATCACATCTTAGCAGCTAAGCAAGGCTGAGCCTTGTTATTATCTGGATGGGAGACCTCCAATGGACATTAGGTTGCCACTTTAAGTCATGTTGATGGATAGTAAAGTAGCACATATACCACAGGACCAGAATTTATAAAAACCAATGCTGCATTGAGGGGTTTTGGGTCACTTCCATTGAACTAAATTTTGAACTGTGGACCCAACATTAAAAACTATTGTTGCGGTTCTGGCTACCCATTAAGGATCCCATTGCACTGTATTTAAGAGTAGGGTTGCAACCCCAGGACCCTGGCTAAATTCCACACTGGGCTTGCACTTGGGTCTACCTAAAGCCCCCCATAATTTAATTGATTTGAAAAATGCTCATCATGCTGGTGCATAATAGCCACAGCACATCACCCAGGTGTGGAATTGCACTACAGCGATGGATAAAGTGGGTCCCCACCTTTATGTAAGTGCTTTGTGATCCTTTAGGATGAAAAGTGATAAATAAATGCAGTTATTTATTATTAATTGATTGTGGCGTATATATAGCAAACTTTTATCTGAAGGTTCAAAGCTCTCCAGAAAATGAAGTATCATTGCTTGGCCACTGAATCAGACTAGCTTTCATTCTGTTAACAAAGGCTACTTGAAGTTTAATTTGAAGGTTGGTATGGTCACAATTTGACAAGGTACAGTATGTGCTGTGAGTGTCAGAGAAGCAGCACAGTACCCCATAGTGTTCCTTTAATTTTGGTGCTTAAGTATGGGGGAGCATCCTTTGGGATGTTTAACATCCCTACACATCTACACATCTGTGTGCATCTCTAGGGTGCACACTTTATATACTGTACTAGTCTTTTCTGTTGCAGTGTGAAACCATCGATCCAGGGGCTGAGTGTAACTGTTCCAGGAGTTCCTGAGGTCACCTAAGCTGTTTGAAGCTGTTTCAAGAAAAACAGGCCTTGAGATCATGGGAATTTACCCGGCTCTTGCATACAGAGGAAATTAGCAAGGCCAAAGAAACCTTTTAGTTAAACTATTCAGCTGGTCTTTCAAAGTCCCATTGAACTTTCATCCCCATGCTTTTTTAACATTCCCAGCCTCTGGGAAAAGTTTCTGCTTTAGTTTACATTAAAGGCTCGCGCAGATCAACTGGTAGACACCTCCACGGATATATTTAATCTCTCCCTCACTCAATGCACTGTCCCCTGTTGCTTCAAGAAAACCACCATTTCAAATTCCTAGGTGTCAACATCACAGACGATCTAACCTGGACCCACCACACCAACCTCATAGCCAAGACAGCACGGCAGCGCCTATTCTTTCTCCGCAGACTAAAGAAGTTCGACATGCCTTCAAACATCCTTTCCAACTTCTACAGATGCACCACTGAAAGCATCCTAACCGGCTACATTACTGCCTGGTTTGGTATTGTAACTGCTCCACCAGGGAGTGCAAGGTACTCCAGAGGGTGGTGAAACTGGTTCAAAACACTACCCAGTGCGTGCTACTGAACATCAAGGATATTTACTCTGTTAGATGCCTCAAGAAAGCCAGGTCTTGGGGAAATCGGACTGTATATAAGGAGGCAGGTGGCGCGAGGTGGCCTCTTCCCTTCTGTGTCTTTGTTAGTGTAGATGCAGCGCTGTAACCCCTGTCCCTGTGTGTGGTAACCTTTCCCCGGTTCTGGTTAATAAATGTGTTGTTCAACCCCTTTTCCAGAGTTCTACGCCTGCTCCATTTCGTGCCGAGTCCCGCGGTCGTTACAATAATTATCAATGAGTAATGGAAACAGGTGACTTATGCCAGTTAATAACATAACTGATTCAACTACAATCGTTGAGATTCCAGAATATTTGGAATGAAAACGGAAGACATGATGGAGTGGGTATTAGTGATATAACATATCAGTGTCTAGTTTGATAAGTGTTGTTGTTCAGTTTCTTTGATAACAAGAAATACTGCAGGTTAATGTAAAACGAAAGTTTGGTGTGCTAAGAAATAATTTAATTCAGGGTTTTCCAATCCTAGTCATGTTTTATCCGTATATCTTCATTCCCAGTCAGCTATAGTTTAAAAACGAATACCTTAATGAGCTTGTTATTTTTTTAATCGATCACTTTAATCAATTATTCCAGATCTTCAAGTGCTGTTGTTTTGAATAGATCTGGAAAATATACAGACCGGCCATCCATGAGTAGGATCGGATAACAACGATTTCATTAAAAATGCCCGCTCTGAAGGCAACTTTCCACTGAACGTGTTTTTGAAATAGCCTTTGGTATCATTTAATTTAATGAAGTCACTATTACAACCGCCAGATGGAGCTATGTTTTAGTCATTGCCGCAAATACAAGTAAATGATTGTTTTCTAGGCGTTTCTATGACGTGCGGAGATAGTACCTCTTCCGCTAATATGGCGCTGACATCAGTGACTTCAGTCCTCTAGTGTCATGGGTGGGGCTTTGCCAGTAGTTGGGCATTTCCTGTACGATCATATTTCCAGAGGTCTGGTATTTAAATCAGCTGCAGTGAAGAAGCCGGGGAACCTGTGGTCGTCTGAGATTGTACAGAGCAGTAGGCATAGCGTCTTAATTATACATTTTTTTAAATTTATTATAGTCATTTACGTTTTTAAAGTTTTAAGTACACAATTCGAGGGGTCATAGTCGAAGGACACGTTTATTCCTGTAGTATTTCGAATGTAAGAAGATATGCTGTAAATATGACTTCTACTCGGATTCCTCTGCAGTTTGAATGAAATCTTGGGTTGTGCTTTTAATTCTCTATGTGTAACATTTTTACAGGAGACAGTGCGAGATCATCTCAAGATAAAGCTGAATGCATTTTGGCGATCTCGGCCTTTAAAGCAAAAAGCGGATTGTGGTTACCTGGAAAGAGAGGACGCTGTCAATGAAGAAATTTTGATGGCGAAGTATGTTCTGATTAAATACTAACACATTTGAAAAGCTTTTAAGAACGCCATCTGAAAAACAATTGCAAAGGAAGTATCTTTTTCTTTAAAGTGGGGGAACACTACGCAATTTAGTAACCACGCTGCGTGTTTTCAAAGAACACTCCAATTCTTTAAATTGCATAGATTACTGATAGTGTAAAGTTATCGATTACCGAATTGCATCATGTTCAGCTGGTTGGGTAATGATGACAGGAGGAAGAAGGACCCTGAAGTGTTTCAGACCGTGAGCGAGGGGCTGAAGAAGCTGTACAAGACGAAGCTGTTGCCCCTGGAAGAGCACTACAAATTTCACGAGTTCCATTCGCCGGCGCTGGAGGATGCCGATTTTGACAACAAACCAATGATACTGCTGGTGGGACAGTACTCCACTGGGAAGACCAGCTTCATTCGGTAAGTACAGGTATTTGCGTGTCCGCAATGAATATCGGACAGCAGGCGCTGCACACAAGATCGCTCTTGTTTGCCCATATCACATTACTGATTTTGTTCTTTTCATTGATACTAATCCAGTATTATTCAGCCGCAAAGTTAATTAGTTTTTATATTGTTCAGAGCATATTATAGCGGTAACATAAGAAGTGACCTTTTTCTTATTTGCCAACGTTATTGTAGACTTGTGTATATGAAGGGTAAGGCCCTCATTTAATAAAATGACTGATCATTCAGTGAGCAGATGTACAGTAATAAATACCTCAATAAGTCCAGACATTACACAGTATACCGCTGTGAAAACATTGCGTGACATAGAAATGAGTTGTCCCTCACCCAACTGTATTATGAAACGCAGCAACTCATTATTTTGCGAGCGTAAATTCAGTAATGAAAACAACCTGCTACTGCCGTATCTATGTCACAGTTCCCTTTAGAATACAGGTTCCTCCGCTTGTTAGTTTATGTATTTTAAATTTAATTAAGGCCTGTATCAGATTTGACTGGCATTGTCCTTACATAAAGCTACAGTCTGAAGAAGCTCAGACTGCTACAGTGCAGTATGAGCTTCAGATTGTGAAATATGCAGGAGTCATATTTCAGATACCCCGGGAAAAGAACATCCTGGTGCTCATAAGCACAAGCCCATGATCTGTTGTAAATTTAAGTTTTATGCTAGCTACAGTTTCCCACATAGACTAACAAATGACCCAGTGACATGTGGTTCCCTTAACCCTGGTGTTCTATGTTATAACTTTATCTTTGAGGATTAAATGAGCTAGACCTTAATTGTCTGTGCTTTAGCCTGTGAGTGTGTCTGCTTAGGCATTTATACAGTATTAATGACATATTCAACTGCAGTCATGTGTGCATTAAATATCTCTTCACATGTTTGTTACTGATAATTGACTTTTAAAGGTTGGGCATTGTCACAGAAGCATCTTGTTTCTTACAAACGTCACCTGGATGAAACTTTGTAATTTGCACTGTTGGTTCAGCACACAAGCTAACAAGAATTCATCAGATTGACTGTTGTGCCAGTTTGCAGTATAGCTGTCTGCTGGTGTATTGTCAGATTGTTTGCAGTTAATTTTGTCAGATCATAACCAGAACTATGTTTACTTGTCTTTACTGTTTATTGTATGGCATTTACCATGCAGTCTTTTTTTGTATCCTTTTAAAATACCTGCCACTGATTGTTTATGGTCTGTGGAAAACATTCAGTTGTGAAATCAGTTTGAAAAACCAGAACCTAAGAACAGTTGGGATTATCCAAGTAAGTTTTGGCTCAAATAATGCCTAGACCTGCTTACTCCTTGAAAAAATACAGTGAAGTATCTCCATAGGTATTCTGGTTAAATTGGAAGGTATTTCGGCGACTGTAATTGGTAGTGCATGGTTTAGTTTGGTCCAGAGCAGTTGATTTTGAATAGCTGGAAGTTGAGTATTTGTCTCTTCTTGTACCATACATAATGGAAGCTTATTAACTGCTGAAGACCTAATAGGAAGTTCCTGCTAAACAGTGCCAGTGTTAGTGGGCCATCTTCTGCTTCCATTCTTAAGAGTTGTTAGAGCACAGGTTTGGGCAGGAAAGCTGCAAGTATTTGTTTAAATACAATGTCCAGGTGTAATTCCCAGCTTACTTATGGAATTCTCTCATCCTGTGAAAATACTTGGTTCCTCACAACTGCTGAGTTCCGAAATGTAAGCTTTATTATTTCTGATTATATTGTACATTTTTACCCCCTTCATCACACACTGCAGTGGAGATCAGCAGTTAGTGGATTATCCCTGTCAGATAAGCATATTCTGGGCAGCTGGCTTAGCAATTTGTAAATTTGGTAAAAACAAAAAGTTGTAAACCTTTATGTGCTGGCAAATACAATTAAAACTTCTGTGTTCTGTCCCATCTAGGCCAAGGAGGCACTAATAGTGGAGTAGAATGAGGTGCTTTTTCTTTTAGTCATCTGCGAATGTGATGGATCTGTGAATTTTGCAGTTTGCCTAAGTGTTAGTTCTGGGGAGTACTGTAAATGTAGTAGGATGTTTTATAGAACAAAGAAGATTGCATACTGGATAAAACCATTCCATAAGTATCGTCTTGCAAAATAGGACTTTCATTCAGTTTTCTCTATTATATTACTCATAGAAGAGGTTCCAGCTGCCTTAGTGCTATAGACATCATATGTACCAGTGATGTGATGTGCTTCTGGTTTTCTGGCCTCATTTAAGAGATGTGCTTAGTGATTGTTGGATAAGATAAGAGAGAGAGAACTTTATTAGCCATATAAAATTTCTTGCATTAGGAATTTGTTCACATACCCCAGCTTGCTCTCCATGAGATACACAGACAGGGAGAGAAGCTTGGGGTCAGAGCGCAGGGTCAGCCATTTATACGGCACTCCTGGAGCAGTTGAGGTTAAGGGTCTTGCTCAGGGGCCCAACGGAGTAGAATTCCTCTGCCAGCCATGGGATTTGAACCGGCAACCTTCCAGTCACAGGTGCAGATCCTTAGCCACAGAGCCACGGCGCACTTTAGGAAGGAGCTCCTTTTGTGTTGTATTATCAAAGTCAGGAGGTTAAACTGACATGGTGCTTGACAAGTAGTTATATTATTTTAAATGTAAAAATACCAAAAAACATTTAAAAGGTGGGGAAATGTAAGAAATTTCTGAAATAAAAAAATAAAACTTTACATGGACTTATGTCAAGATGTTTGATTGTTTTCTGTTCTCCTGACTTTGCGGTAGTCATCAAAGTAATGTTTTGGAAAGGTTCAGCAGTTTCCAGTATGTGACGTCATTGTGGCTGTCAGGAATGACTTGCTGTGTAGAATCTTTATTGCTCAGCAGAGATTTCATCCAAGAAAAAAATCGTGTTCTCAAGTAACGACAAGCCGTGAGCTGGACTCCAGTGAAAGACGGACGGTGAGCAGGTGTCGGATCTTGTTAGCTATTCTACTGTCAGAACTGTGAATTTTTTAAAGTTTTAAACGCTATGCCAAGTTTGATAGGCATCTGACACTTAATAATATGGAGAACTTTGTCTTTGAAAACATGATTGCTTCTTCCCCAAAATAGGCAGAAGTGCTGGGGTTTCATCCTGAGCAATTCTTTTTATAATACATTTCTAGCTAAACATTGTTCATTGTTTCCCATGGCATACCATTTTTAAATGGAGCCTGGTAAATATGAAAAAATACCATTGAAAAAAGCTGCATGTCTCCTTTGTGGTTTATGAACCACCTTGTGTCTCCTAATATGGTATGGTTCATAAAGTACGTATGTGAACCAACCTTTTCATTGTTTAATAATTGCAGATTAATGTCCCAGCATTGATGTTTTGTTCTGGAAAGGTTTCGATAAAGAACAGGATAGGAATCATAATTCATGAAGTCTAAATAATGGTACTTGCTGTAGGTTTTGTGATCCAGTGGAATCAACTGTGATTGTTTTTCAGCACATAACCAATTCTGAATCATTTTGCTCAGTGAACAGTTCTGAGGCCTTGCTCTGCAGGTTATCAAATGCAAATGAAACAGAGGCAGAATATATATGTTATGTGGAGATAATAATAACATCACTTTATTAACACTTTACAATTTCTTGCATTAGGAATTATCTTTTCACATACCCCAACTTACTCTCCATGAGACACACAGACACACAGATGACTGCTTCAAGAACACTGCGCAGGGCACAAGTTGTATTGGCTTAATGTGCTTTCATCTTTAACCTTTATGTACAGTATATAGTCTTATAAGCATCAGTTTTTCTCACTTTGTGTTCTGTTTTGTGCTTCATTCTCCATGTATGTGATACATTGCGGTTTATGTCATAGGCAGGGCGTTCACAGCTGGAGACAAAACTAGCCAATTTCAGGCTGAATGGCTCCGAACTGTGACTACTCAGCACACAAATGCTTTCAGGAGAAGATTTCACACATATACACTTCACATTTTAGAATAGTGTCACTCAATGAAGAATGAATTAAGTTAAATTGCCCATGATCCTCACCCCCAGTCCTTGGAATACGGCCTGTGAAATTGAGAGAAATTAATCTCTAACTTTTAACTGTTCTGTAGACTGAAGGTTATACTTAAGATTGAAATGAAGCACATGTTGAAGGAATCAAGCAAAGGCTGTAGACTAAGAAGATTAGATTGGTCAATCTTTTTCATTTAGATGAAAGATACAGCCCAGCGCTCAGGAAGATTTTTTTTCTCATTGCTTTTCTTTTTATTTGGAAAGGTACCTCTTGGAGCAGGACTTCCCTGGCATGCGAATTGGCCCGGAGCCCACAACCGACTCCTTTATTGCGGTAATGCATGGTGACGTGGAAGGGCTGATCCCTGGAAACGCGCTGGTGGTGGATCCGAAGAAGCCTTTCAGAAAGCTCAATGCATTCGGCAATGCTTTTCTCAATAGGTGAGTTGGAAAGCTTCTCATTTTTCAGGTATCTTGGCCTTGCTGTGTACCACATTGAAGAAAATCCAGCACTAAATTCAAAAGATTATTGAGGGCCAAAATAATAATCCAGATAAGAAAGGTGTAAAGGGATCATTCGCAATAGCTCAACTGTTTTGCAAGAGTCAGACATGTTTTCAGAATGTGGACATACAGCAAAGGTCCCTCAGTTGACATGCTGCTCCATCTTTTAATTTTTTTATCTAAATTTTTACTAAATGGTTTACTGGCAGGAGCTATGATTATACTTTGAAGTAAAGATCACAATCAAACATGTACATGTTGTAGTTTGAGCGGGGAACTGTGTCAGCTTTGTGCTGTGAAGGAACAAGTACAGTTTAATTCTGTGGTGAAAAGTAGAAAGAAGAAAAATCTTGTTTGGGTGTGTTCAGGTGACGGATCCTTTCTTTTACTTTTTCACATGATTTTAATCAGATTGTTGCTATGAGCATTTATCATGCACATACCTCCAAATACATCGGTTATGCCAAATGCAAAAATGTTCGAAACCATTTGTCAGAGGCTGCTTGTACAATGTTAGAATGAGCGTGCAGCATTTTTTTTTATTGTGCCATTTGTGGTTTAGGAAGTGTCATTTATCATCAGGATCAAAACCTCAAAAACTAATATGGTGTTTTAAAAACTTGCAGTGTTCAGTATTTACAGACTTTCACCAAAGATTCATTGTAGGATGATGACATTTCCAAACCACCAACTATTACAAGAATAGAGAATAGGGATGCTTTTATTTTTGTTCTTCCTCTTTTACTTTCCTTTAGGCACGTTTTAGAAAATCTTTGTGGATTATTTGGTAAAATGGCCGTTACTATAGATGCTGGTGACCCATATTGAAGTTGTCGTTTGACTTGTTATTCTATGAATTCAAGAGAGTTTAGTTTAAATGAAGTCTGATAGCTCTAAACAAAAAAACCTATGTATTGAGAGACATTACAGATGTTGAAGGCTATTTTTTAACTATTTTCTTTAGAAAAATTATTTGTAAAGAAACTGGCCTTTTGTATCGGTATGATATTAAAAAGCAGTGTGCATACATTAAAGTGTGTCAGTCCTTTTCAAATTTCTGTTTTGTTTCTTGAGTTCAGTTTCTATTTGCTACAACCAGTTTTCTTTTGTTAAGTAGTGTATTGTGATAATATGCTACTTTATCTCATTATTTAATTGTTATACTGGACAAGGTTTTGTCAGTGAGGCCATTTTCTTACCCCCTGGAGTTACTGAAGTTGTCTTACAGTCTCAGCTGTTGTTTGACAGGACCTTTCTATTTGTTATGCTCTTCCTTTCCAAGTTGCTTCAAAAGCGAAATTTATATTAAATGGAAAGGTTAGACTTAATACTTTTAGTCAGAGTGGGTGATTGAGAATGATCTGCAAGGTTTCAAAATAAAGCCAATTTACATAGAAGTTGACATCTTTGGAACAGTTAACAGATTTCTCCCTGGCAAAATTAAACATTACAGTACTTGTCATAATTTAATTTTTTGTCCCTTGTACACTACGCATTAAGCACATATAGCTCTTTAAACATGGGCTTATTTCTTATCCCAGAGTAGTAGAACTGCTGAATTTTAAAATTCCACACATTTTTCACATACAAGCTACATAATCTATGTTGCAAAACTATATAATGTAATTTATGTTGCAGTGTTATATAATGTAGCCTGAAGTGCAGCAGGTGCAAAATATGGTGTTGGTTTTTAGGGCAACAGCCATGGATTCCCCTGCTATTTGATAGTGCTGGGCAACATATTTCCCATTTCTTTAACTTCTCAAACAAATGAATGCCTGAAACATTCACATCCACAGAAAATGACATTGTTAATTTTGACATATTGCGATGAAAACATTAATATGTAGCGTTTAGCATATACTGTAGCATTTCAGCTTTTGTTTATGGGTGGTGTTTTGCAGATGTTTACCAATGTCAGAACAATGTCTTATTCCCACCTTTTTAGGTGAGAGTAAATAATAAGAGACATGGCTACAAGTGTTTCTTATTGTTCAGATGTTCTATGTTGCACTAATTGTGAAAACATTAAACTGTGAATATATAGCCATGGTTCCAGTCTTTTGGAGCTCACAGTTTGGGTCTGCCTCTCAATCTGAAAGCCATAAATGAGATGAAGACTAGAGACTTGTCTATGACAGAAGACCAAGCGATAGTGACGATAAGAGCGAAGAAAATTCCAATTTGACCTGTTGCGAGAGATTGGGCATTTCTGTTGATTTTGTAAGGAATGTCTTGATGGGGGTCAGGTGGTGCAGTGTTTAGCATTGCTGCCTTGTAATCCTGGGGTCCTGTGTTCATTTCTGACCTGGGGTGTTATCTGCATGGAAAGAAAGAACTGTAGTACTACACAACTGGCAAAGCCCAGTTTGTTCAAGAAAGACAAACAGCAGTTCATATAGAAAAAAACCAAAATTAGAGCAAAAAGAGACTGTGCATAATCTCCCCAAAATCTCCTGATGTTCTATAGTTTTTATCTTTTATCTTTTATCATTTTATCTTTTGATCTGGAACACAGATTTCAATAGTACACAGCAAATATGACATTTCACTTCAGTGTCCCAATACACTTTTCACTGTACATCCAAATAAGCACAATCTCTGCAATAGATTCATATCATTATAATCAGGAAGTCTTTTTTTAATAGGGCCACTGACATTTTATTGAACTTGACATTGGTACTTTCATTCGAGCGATGGTAGTCTGTGTGTGACTACCCTGGGAAGCAAGTTAAACGGTACTTCAGAAGTGCATGCTTTGCTCAGGGTTGCAGATGCAGTCTTTTGGGATCCTGTTCATCTCTGCAATCAGTATACCTGTTCACTGGTGTCTGAACCTTAGATGCTGCACGTGATTCCATCTCATCCCACCAATCTTCAAATGGTCTCATATTTGGGAAGAAGTCAATGGCATAACTCACATTCACATCCTGCGAGACTGCAGTTGTTACAGGAGTGTCATACCATTGGAACGTGCATTGTTCTGTCAATATGAGCCCACAGGAGGGGAAGCAGTTGATGTCCCAGGACTTAATCAGTGTAGCACTGAGTCTGTCATTCGCGTTAGTTCCTCACCAATTAGACCTATCTTGCATTGATTTACCTGTTGTTCGAAACCCGTTATTATCTGGCAAGACTCCGCCGCTTCTTGATATTCATAAGGTTGGTCTACACAAAGCCTTGAGCCAAAAGTTGAGGACTATAAGCCAAAATTGTCTTAGAATCCCTGTGCAAGGATGCAGACAAAGAACATGAGATGAAATCTTGAGACATGTTCGTCTCATTAGAGGAGAGGTCAAATATGAAGTATCGTCTTGGAGACATCCTTGATCATCATTGCTCTGACATTTTCCAGAAAGATGTTTTTCAACAGTCTTATTTCACTGTAAATGGCAGGGCATTTTCTTTGAGAGATGCAGAAAACATTTTTCCTAGATAATCATGATAACCTCTGGGTGATCTTGAATTTGCCAGAGTGGCCGTTTGTGCGTTGTTGGACGTGTGCTGTAGTTACCCCCCCGAATATCCTTCAGACAATTTCAAGGTGATTTTAATTATACTACTGTGTGGATGAATGATCATACTTCTGAAAATGAATTTTAGCTTTAAAATGTTTGCAAACTTTTTTGGTCATGGTTAATTAAATATTCTGAAACAGTCATTTTCAGACTGGCAAATTGGTGTGAAACTAATGTAGCTGATCCAAAAGGTGAAGAAAAAGTTAGTTAATAGTTTCATTTTTGGATGACATTGTAGATTAGGCGACATGGTGGCGCAGTTGATTAGCGTTGCTTCTTTGCAGCGCTGAGGCCCTGGGTTCAATTCCAGATCTGGAGTGTTATCTGCGTAGAGTTTGTGTGATCTCCCCTTGTGTGTTTTTCTCCCCCAGTCCAAACACCTACTGGTAGGTTAAGTGGCTTGTGAGGCAAAACTGACCCTTGTGTGCCCTGCAATGGACAGACGTGTCATCCAGGGTGTGCCACGCCTTGCACTTGTTGCTCGCTTGGATAGGAAGAGGTTCCACCACCACCCTGAATTGGATGAAGCCATTAGGAAATATTCAGATAACAGCATTTTTACAACAAGTTGCAAGAAAATGTTTTTCCTTTGTTTTTGTATTCACATTATGGAAGGAATTATATGAAGCACTGATATATTAGGAGGGAGTCACATCAATATTTGGAGTTCCCAGTTGCATTGGCCTATTTAGAAAGCTTTAGCCAAGCATATTGTTTACTCTTATTTGCCTAGGTGTCTGTGTGCTAAGAGGTGTTTTACCTCTTAGCACACAGACACCTAGGCAAATAAGAGTAAACAATATAGGGTAAGACAAGTGAACAGATGATCAGAGTTCCTAGTGTTTTCCCGTGGTTTTTCAAATTTACAGTAAGTTAATCAGACCACCATATCAAAGAATCTGAGCACTGTTGAAAGACTTGGTGTCTTATTTTAGGAAATTCAGATTTTCTATGTTGTGAAATTCTCGGACTTAAAAAAGTTTCTCCTGTTTTGAACAAAAAGTTGTTTGAATAGGTTAATTGGTTCCCTTTCACTTGTGGGCATCTCTGTTTTTTAAAGAGTATGATTTAGACCTAGGCAGTTTATTTTCTCAGGGTGCAGGTGCTCTCTTTTTGACATTTTTATGGTGTTTAGTTGTGTATTTGAATTACAGAGGAAGAATTCTGCAATTTTCTAAGTTCATAGTAATTAGAACTCTGGAATGCACAAATTGTACATACAGAATGTGCCCTAGTGTAACTTTTGTATGGTTGCGTTATTTATAAATACATTTTTGGGCCTGCTCTTGGGCTTTCTCCATGTGTAGACTGTGGATTGGTGGAGCCCCAAATACTTGGCAATGATTTTGTGACTTTTTCTGGACAGATGAGCATCACTAACCCGTGATTTCCTTACATCTTGACATCTTGACATGACTTGTTTCTGTACAACTGTATGGTGAAGACCAAACTCGCCATGTTTTAGATCTCTATATATAGTGGGTCCTTCTATAATCAGCATTCAAGATGTATCTAATTATTTAAACACCATGTTCTAAATTATTCCCTTAATTGAGCGAATGAAGCTAGGAGTTCACTTATTTTTTAACATCCCCTGTAACTTAGTTACTAATCGTTTAACTCCACATCATCTTGTTTTAAGAGACATGGTTACTATAAACCCTATTGGAGACTTAAATAAGGACTTGGTTTCATTCAAGAAGTTGTTTTGCTGGCTATCATGTTATAACTATAAAAATTCCATATTTATCTTTGGGATTCATAAACATTTAATCAGCACTGTATTCTTACTAGACATGTGACAGACTAAAGCATGTTTTACATAACTGTTGGTTGTTTCCATTCCACTCTTTTGCAACACAAAAAGTAACTTCAGTAATTTGACCTGAAATATTTGGAATAAATGACTCATAAATGCCATTCATTATCTTTGTAAGCTCTGATAGTTGACTATAAGCAGAAAAAACAAACTATCTGGATACAGGATTACAGGACCAAACGAATTTACAGAGGTTTTTTTGTTAATGTGGCATGCTCTATTGTAGAGGAGGCTGAATTGTTGTTGCATGGCAAGTTGTTTGTGGGTCAAGTTGGACTTGCACTGATGTTTGTGCAAATGTTTTTAGGAAATAAAGAATCGAGCCAAGAGAATGAAACAGAAAGAGGTCAAATGTGAAATTCTTTCAGCATTATAGTTATATCTTGATCTCTCTTTTTACATCCCATTCTGAATGGAAAATTGGGATGTTTCTTTGTAGAATATCACAGAGGAGTTGCTTTTTATCAACTAGTTTAGGATTATATTTGAGGAATGGCTTTAGGATTACAGTTATGAGTAAGTGGAAATGGGAAAAAACAGTTAACTTCACTAATTGTACAGCAATTAGAGGTTTAAAAATTCTTCTACCACTTTGAATAGAGATAATAGGTCTACATAATTTTTAATGGAAGATGTACTCATACATTTTGTCAGTTAACAAACCCACAAATCTAACCATATACAGTAAATGCAATTAGCAGTTATGCTGGCAATGAACACTGTCCTTTTTTGTACCTAAACCATACACAATGAAATTGGTTAATCCCCTTTTCATTAGCTATCAAAATTATAAAAGAGGGATTCCATTTATCTGAGTTCAGTAGTTTATTTTTTAGAAGTCGGTTACTGGTCCCTTCATGTGAGAAATACCATTGAGGCCATGCTTTCTATTAGAGGCAAGATGTTATCTAATTTGTTCTTCCTTGCATTGTTAAACAATTGGTATTGGATTGTGTGCTTTGCTTGGTGCATTCAGTGTTGATATTTTGAAACCATCTTTGGTAGAAACAGGAAGTTTTTGTGGGTGCTCTTTCAACTCTTTCAATCATGAGCAAATCTGGGTAGTTGTTCTTCCCAGCCTTGTGTCAGTTGCTAGCAGCCTGCAATGTACTGTAGCTGATGGGGCATGTCGTACAGCCTGGGTTGAAATTAAAAGCTGGAAAGCTCTTTTAATTGCAGATTGTAATATGGTCAGGAATAGTTTTATAAGCTTGCAGCTCTTTGCAGAAGATAAATGTGGACAACGGCACAATGCTGAAACTGACAAGTATATGAGTATATCCATGTACCGCCTCAGTACAAGCCTGAAACATACTGTAAGTGGGATTTATTAAATTAGAAATTAAGGAGTTCAGCAGTGCTAGTTTACAGCACTCTAATGTTAATTTCTTGGTATGGCATGTAATCTGAAACGTTTTAAGGACAGGCTTCTCTCCTTGCAATCTGCAGGTTTGTATGCGCACAGCTACCCAACCGTGTTCTGGAGAGCATCAGTGTGATTGACACTCCAGGAATTCTGTCAGGGGAGAAGCAGAGGATCAGCAGGGGTAAGTGTCCTCCTACTGTAGGTTTACTGGTACACTTTGGATGATATTGAAAATGTATCTCACAAACACGGCAGGAAAACCACTACTACACTGTTGTGATTGGTAATACAGGATTATAATGCTGAAGGGTGCCTTGGCAAGTGAGTTCAGTCTCTGTTGTCACAGTGTCCCAACTTATTTGTAGAACTGTGGCACATCCTGTTGTTAGGGCAGTGGTTCGAACCCAGGTCATGGGGGGGGGGGATTTCTGTCTCTGTGCTGTTTTTTTTTGTTCCAAAACTTTCCGTAATTATTTCAGACGACATTTTGACATATATATTTCAAATACCATTCAGCTGCTATAAATGTGATTGGGGTTTGTAATTGGTATTATTATTAATTAATTTGACTGCCTGTTTTATCCAATGCAGCTTGCATTTGCACCCTTGCAAACAGCTGGGAATTTTACAGGAGCTATTCGGGTGAAGTACTTTGCTACATGGTACAACAGGAGTGTCTCACTTTGAACCCCCACAGCCTTCGAGTGACCAGTCCAGATATAAACACTGTTGCTGCAACTTTTGATACTAGGTTGGTGTCAGCCCTGTATCAATTTCTGAGGTTCAGACTTACCCTTATTCAGATGTGCTGTTTGAATTTAAACCATTTGAATCTCTTGAGGAAGAAAAACACTCATTGTGGGAATTTAGGCTACATTGTCATTCCTGCTAGTGAGTTCATGATGAATTAATAATTTGTTCAGTCAGAATTAAGGGTGCAAAGTGAGTAAGTTCAAGAGAGCTTTCAAAAAAGTATCCACATCATCCCTGTTGAAAACAATACACTTGAAGAGAGTACTTGTGGAGTCAAGTGCAGAAAGGGCTAAACAGGCAAATCAGTTAGTACAAGTGATTTACATGCTCAGGTGGTATGAAAACCATCAGGAACACCAGGAAATGCACTTCAGGCTGGAAGAACAATGTATCAGCTTGCACATTAGTTGGTTTTGTCCCCTTCTGCAAAATCCAGTTGACTGATCTGAAGAACAGGAATTGGTAAAGGGATTATGCCAATTACAAATCTGTTCATCAGATTTCATCATGTTTGAAAAGAAGAAACCACTTTTTTAAAATAAACCCCAGATAAAAAAACAATGAAATCTATCAATCTGATACAGACAATACAAGACCCCACCTGGTCCTCCAGGACCAGGTTTCTCAATCTGCTGGTTTAATGGTACACAATATCAAGAAAAGTTATTTAAACATGTGTTGTGGAAGGGCTTGAAAAGTGTCAGTCTTTCCACAGTACTGTTAAGTCTTTTTTGAGCTGCCTTACAGATCTTTGCACGATGTGGTTTCCCTGGTCGTGCCCATGTTTGTCTTGAAAACCCTTGGATGACTATTGTTTAATGCCTAACTTAAAATATACTCCATTGAACAAGTGTTCTTTTCCCAAACACTTCACCTTCTAGGCATGTATAATCTATTAGTTTCCAAGAATTTGTTCTGCTGTTGCAGCATTTGTTTTAGACCTTCCAAAGAGGAATTTAATACAAACTGTTGAAATGTCAAATTGTTACCTCCTTTGTAGTATACATCGGAAAGGGAAAGCAGAGTGTGGAAGAGTTCCTAAAACTTTGCTTGCACCTTTTAAGCACTTTGCAGTATTTAAGTTTTGCAAAGGAAAACTGGGAATGATTGTCCTTATTGTTGAAACAGGATTACACAGTTTGCTTCTTTCAGATGGGTGTGTTTCTAGTTGTTCAGTCTCGGAGGGATCAAAAGACCAATCAGCTCATAACTGTTGCAATTGCACCAGCTTCTTCAAGCTATTCAAGTACTGCTCCTTTAAAGAGCAAGAGCTCCATGATGAGTTTGGTCTTTTTTTGCTCTTTTGTAAGCATCCAGCATACGATACACCAATGTGTATCTCATTGATGATTGAACAGTGGGAATTTAGGTCATTGAAAGTATACAGTAATGCCTCTCTTGGGAGTGATTCACCATAGCACTCTGTCATTTGCGTATTCCAGAATACACCTATATAAAAGCTGAATGTCTGCTTGTGACATGCATATAGGCCGGGCAGAAACACTTATAGCTGGTAACACTTGGCACAGTAGTTGTTGTTGTGCATCTTTCTAGTGTTTGTATTCTGAAGGCAAAATTCAGTGAACAATGACATGCAAGCTCTTAGCCAATCAAAGTATATTATTCTAAGGTCGTGCCATTGGTAAATACACTTTTCAAAAAGTCTCAAAACTTGCTTCATCAAAAAGAAGTGATAAGCCCCTCAAGAAGAGCCTCATCCTGGGCCAAGCAGCTCCTCCCATTAGTCTCCTGGTGCCAGGTTGGAGGAGTGAAGGCAGATGGTGGTTAATCTACACAAGCTCTTACTTAATGTATGTGGCCACATTGAGTGGATTTCTCCTGTACCCATGATGTAAAATACACTTTTCTATATAAATTTAACCTGTAACTATATTCTGTGTTAAAAATATCATTGAAGCTGTTACCAATGCCCCAGTGAAGCTCTCATATGCAAGAAACATCTCTCATGGGAATGCTTTCCCATTGAATCCAGGCTATAATTGCCTCAAATAGTGCCATTTCCCATAATGCACCTATCTCTGGAATGGAATCCTCAGTGCTAAAAAAAAGCATTGCTGTGTTTGTAAATAGTGTTTAGTTTTTGCTTTTCATATACAGTATTTCAGTAAAACAGAGCTTAATGCTCTTCTTTTTGTCCTTCTGCAGTGTTAGTATAATAAAAATTTTCATCAGCATTTTCGGTAAGGTATATTTTAGTTTAAAAAAATAAATTTGATCTAGGTAACCTCTGTCAGTGATGAGGGAGACTTCTTTGGCCGGTTGTCAAGAAAGAGTTGTTTGACTCGATCAGAAATGCAGGTCCTACCAGGATGTATGAGTCAGCGTTGCCTTTGGAAAGGAACAGATCTTCAGGGATTTACATTCCACTCATATGCTGTTAGGCTGGCCAACTTGTGGTCTTTCTTGTCTTGTTTTATACGTTCTTTGAAACACAATCAGTTATCTAAACATGTGAGTTTTTAGTGCTGTTCGCTCATTGTGATGTAAAATATAGGCATAATCTGATGTATATTTTCATCCAAGATTGATCTCGCCTCCTGTGATGTATTTGTTTTTATTTGGTGTACCCAAAGCCTCTTTCAGGGGATGTATATGGTTTCAAAGCCATGACTATATTCAGATTTTAACAAGTTTACTGGTATTTTTCCTTCCCTATGTGACTTAAGTGTTTGATGTGGTATATCTAGCTGTTGAAAATATCTTAGATCTCAATGGCCCATTTTTTTGTGAGAAATGACAAGTCAGCATCATAGATTAATATGTACTGCACAGGATGATTGTTGGCTATCATAACGATGTCTGAAATTATATAACGTTTGCTGTATATTTTGTAATACAATTTATTCTTTCCCCATTACTGGCAAGAGTGACAAATTGTATGTTGCACTGAAAACTCAGATTTTATTCTTGACGTATAGCATTTCTGAAGTGATTTCAGCATATAAAACACTGCTACTGTTTATTCAATCTTCACTGGAATGTATTGAATTCGTATTGCATTTGGCACCTGCTTTTCATTTAGATATGTCTATCCATGGTGACTTACAATATTGGAAATTATTGGGAACTGCTTCTGCTTGGCCACCCATCCCATCGACAAACAGAAAACTGTTTATTCTTGTGACAGTGTGATAGAAGCAAAGCATGGGAGATTCTACAGGCTGTAATTGAGAGGGGAGGCTTGGTAGCTTAAGACACGAATAGGGCAGCCTGCCCTTTGGGCTCAGGGCACAATGGGAACTGTCCTGCTCTGGATGAGCCTTTTTAAGGTTTCAGTTAGTGTTTCCATCTCTTAATTTCATCATGTCAGTTTTTTTTCACTGAACTATTCAGTGCAGAAAGTTTTGTGGATGTCAGAAATAATATGGTTTCCTGTTAAGATTGTATCAACAGATAATATATATATATTTTTAATTTCTAAGTGTTTTTCTAGAAACTCGAGGCACCGTATGGTATCAAACACCTAATACACGTAAAAGAAGTAAAAAGAGAAGTGCAACAGCTTTGACTCAGTGAGACCAAAAATAAAACGGTCTTAAAAGTTATAGTGAAACGATAGCTCTGTAAGTGAGCTTTGTAAATATTGACAGTTGGTCAATTTATTTGTACATTGAGTTCCACAGACTTGGTGCTGAATGTGAGAAGGCTTCACCACCCATTGTGTAAATGGTAAAATAAGGCGGCCTGAATTAGTAGATATCTGATTTAAAAGCTAAATATCTTGCAATAACATCTGGGGCTAGACCAGTGAGTATCTTACAAGTGAGCAGTAGTAGCTTAACCAGAATCCAGAGTGAAGTACAGAGGACGGGAGTTATGTGCTGATTCAAAGTACTTATAGCTGGCACACAAGCTGCAAAAATATTAAGTACTACTTACAACATTAGAAGATAACCCAGTTAATAAGGCATAACAGTAGTCTTATTTTGCCTCAATGAAAGAATGTAAGGGCTGCACTGCAGCACAGTGATTAGCATTGCTGCCTCATACTGTTGGGGTCCTGGGTTCAATTCCTGGGATGCTGTCTGCATGGAGTTTGCACATTCTCCCCTAGTTTGTCTGTATTTTCTTCAGGTGCTCCAGTTTCCTCTTGCAGTCCTAAGACATGCTTGTAGGTTAATTGGGCCTGGTGTGAGTGTGTGTGTTTGTGTCTGTGTGTTCCCTATAATGGACTGTTATCCATCTGGGGTGTATCCTGCCCAGTGCTCCCTGTGACCCTCAATTGGATAAGTTATTGAAAGTAATGGTGATGGAAAAGCATGCATCAGTATTTCAGCATCACATGGGAACAGCAAGGATCTTAACCAAGCGAGTAGCTGAAATATACCCACATGACATCCCTAATGTGTACTTTAAATACGGGTCAAAAGTAACACAGAAGTTTAACGTCTGGATTTGATTTCTGTA